AAAAAAAAAAAAAAGGTTGAGAAGGGAGAGGGTTGACATGTCGTGGGGTTGCTGACCAGTGTCATGGAACAGTGTGTGTACTGACTGTTCGATGAGAAACTATTTGTTCTGTAAACCTTCACCTGAAGTACAGTTAAAAAAAAAAAGGATGTAAATGTTCAGATTTATGCATCTATATAAAACTATGTATGTAAGTACAGGACCAACTCCATGGCATCTAAAAACAACATGCATAAAGACTTTTTTGGTAAATTTTAAAATATTAATAATCCCCTAAATAAATCTAGGCAGCCCTGGTGGCTTAGTGGTTAAGAGCTCAGCTACAAAGCAAAAGGTCGAATCCACCAGCTGCTCCTTGGATATCCTATGGGGCAGTTCTACTCTGCCCTAGAGGGTCACTATGAGTTGGAATCAAGTCGACAGCAACGGGGAACGGGGGAAATAAATCCAAAAACCAAACCCACGGCCGTGAAGTCAATTCCGACCCATAGCAACCCTATAGGACAGAGCAGAACTGCCCCATAGGGTTTCCAAGGCTGTAAATATATAGAGAAGCAGACTGCCACACCTATCTCCTGCAGAGCAGCTGGTAGGTTTGAACTGTCGACCTTTTGGTTAGCAGCAGAGTCCTTTAACCATTGCGCCTCCAGAGCTCCTTATCCCTTCTAAGTGGGCATTGATAAATCACGCCTTTAAACTATTTATTCAATTACCTCATTCTGACTGCTGCACTTGTCAGCTGATGTTTTTGAACATAAATGTCTCTAAAACTAATGGTCCCTGGTTTATTACGACTTTCACCACCTAAGCAATCAGAGTTGAGACCCACAGTAGCTTAACACTGTTAACAAGTAACCCAAGTCACTAGCAAACACAAGCGATATGCAATAAAAATATACTCAGTAAAATATAACCATGAAATAATGTTCAAAACATTACTATTTTAATTCTGCAATGGCCAAATACTTAATGAATACTCACTGTGCTTATTATGCTTGGTGAGTTCTAACTAGGATAGATTACGGCCTTCATTAGCACCTTGTTGAAAATTACTGTAAGAAGGGTAAGCTGATACCAGAAACCAAAATTCTTGCATTACAAAAAAGCACCCCCAAATCCCTGATAAGTAACTTGCCTAAGGTCACAAATCTACTCGTTGCCTTCAAGTGATTCTGACTTGAAAGAAAGCAGACTGTCACTCTTTCTCCCGTGGAGAAGCTGGTGGGTTCGAACTGCTGACCTTTTGGTTAACAGCCAAATGCTTAACCACTGTGGCACCAGAGCTAAGGTCACGTATCTAGCAGATGGCAAAGCCAGGATTTGAACCCAGCAGTCTAGCTCTAGAGTCCATACTCTTTAACCTCTCATATGAAAGACACTAACTGGGAAGCTTACCCACAACTTTCTCTGTACAATGTTCCTCTTCTCTCCCTGTTTTCCTAGATTCCAGGCTTGTCTGAGAGAATAAATCATTTCTTCACTCAGTCATTCAAAATTTCATCTACGCACCTGCCCACCCATTCACCCATCCATCCAACAAGTATTCACTGAGCATCTACAATGTGCCAGATAATGCTCAAGGCAATACTAGTTGAAAAAGATGGACATGATCTCTGCCCTTGTACTACATACATTCCTCACTCATATTACTCCACCACTCTTACTAGTCCTTGAACATGCTATGCGTGTTCCCACCTCTGCCTGGAAAGGTTTTCCCCAGAATTTAGCATGGCTCATTCCTTCACTTCATTCAGGTGTCTGCTCAAATGTCTCCTTCTCAGAAAGGCCTTCCCTGACCACCCTTTCTAAATTAACTATACTCTTACCATCTATCCCCTTTCCCTGCTTTATACTTCTTCATAGTACTTATCATTCCTAATATAATTGTTTGTTGTCACTGACCTCCCTTGCACCAACAGAATGTAAGCTCCATGAGTGCTCTATCTCCAGCACCAAGAAGTACACTTGGCACATAGTAAGTATTCAATAAATATTTCTTGAATGAAAGGATTAAAAATGTCTTTTAAACCTAACCATTTTCTCGTGACCACCATCTCTCAACTGAACTTTTGTAACTGCCTTTTATTTGTCTCCCTGTCACCTTTTTTTATCCCCTTCAATCTCTGGTCCACATGGAAATCAGTTATATTGCTAAAATGCAAATCTAATGCTAGTCCTCCACTTAAAATGTTGCAATTAATCTTAGGATAAAGTCCAAACTCTTAATGTGGCTTTTAAGGCCCTCCTGTACCTCTAAAGCTATTTTCTTCCCATTCCTTTTCTTACATTTAATAGTTTTAACTCGCTTGCTGAAAGTGAAAATGACTTGAAGCACTTATTGATGAAGATAAAAGACTACAGCCTTCAGTATGGATTACACTTTAACATAAAGAAAACAAAAATCCTCTTAACTGGACCAATAAACAACATCATAATATAAGGAGAAAATGTTGGAGTTATCAAGGATTTAATTTTACTTGGATCCACAATCAACACCCATGGAAGCAGCAGTCAAGAAATCAAACAACGTGGTGCATTGGGCAAATCTGCTGCAAAAGACCTCTTTAAAGTGTTAAAAAGCAAAGACGTTAACTTTAAGGACTAAGGTGTGCCTGACCCAAGCCACGTGTTTTCAATGGCCTCATACACATGTGAAAGCTGGACAATGAATATGAAGACTGAAGAAGGATTGATGCTTTTGAATTATGGTGATGGTGAAGAATATACTATGGATTGCCAAAAGAATGAACAAATCTGTCTTGGAAGTAGTACAGCCAGAACGCTCCTTAGAAGCAAGAATGGCAAAACTTCATCTCATGTATTTTGGACAGGTTATTAGGAGGGACCAGTCCCTGGAGAAGGACATCATGCTTGGTAGATGATCAGCAAAAAAGAGGAAGACCCTCAACGAGATGGACTGACACACTGGCTGCAACAATGGGCTCAAGCACTGCGCAGGACCAGGCAGTGTTTTGTTCTGTTGTACGCAGGGTCACTATGAGTCATAACCGACTCGACGGCACCTAACAACAACAGCAGCAGCAGTTACAGCTAACATATATTGAGCACTTGTATGCCAGGCACCAGTCTCAGGGCATTATTGTATGTACTAAATCATTCAGTCCTCATATATGATGTAGGGCTTATTGTTATACCTATTTCCAGGTGAAGAAACCAGGGCAACCACTAAGTGGTGAGGCCAGTATGTAAACCCAGGCAGTCTGGCTCTGTAATAAAAGTCCATCAGTTCCTCAAGTGTGCTATTTTACCTTGTGCTGCCAGGTCTTCACACTGTTCTCTCTGTTGGAACATCCTTTAGGTCATAGCTTAAACATCCCCTCCTCTGTGCGACCTTCCCCGCAGCCTTCCCTAGAGCTGGTTAGATGTCCCTGCTGTGTTCTCCCACGGCATTCTGAAATCCCCGTTATAACACCAAATTCTACTTTATTATAATTACTTGTCTGCCTTCACCAATAAATTCCAGGCTGCATGAGGGCACAGATCATACCTGACTTGCTCACCACTGTATGCCTAGCACCTGGCACAGGCCCTGGAATATATTAGGTGTTGAGTGAATCTGAGATGGTACCAGCACCTCGAAGCTTTTCTTAACCCTCTTCAAAAAATAATTTGTCATTTCTCTAAGAGCCTTGCTCATATGGCACATAGTTTATGCTTCATATTTTATTACGTATCTATTTAAAGGATGTATATATATATATATTTTTTTCCTATATGCTTATGAAAAGTAGGTATATCATCTTATGTATCTATATGACCTTTGAAGTAACTTTCACAAACTTACCACTTAAAAGTAATTATTGTGTAAAAGGGATCTCTGCAATATTCCTTATAATTGCATGTAAATGGACAATTATCTCAATACAAATTTCAATTTAAAAAGTAATTACTGAAAGAAAAGGACTGATAAATAACGAATTACTCAAGAGCTTAAAATAACCCCCACTAACGATCTGGTCATCCCTGCACGGGAGCCGTGCTACTCTTCTCTGTATCCTTCCAGTTTTAATATATGGGCTGCCAAGGAGTACTCGTACTATCTGAAGACCAAACTCCCCAATCTAACATTCAGAGTCCTGGATAATCCAGCTCCTTATTACCTATTCAGGAGCGCTGGTGGCACAGTGGTTAAGAACTTGGCTGCTAACCAAACGGTTGGCAGTTTGAATCCACCAGTCACTCCTTGGAAACCCTACGGGGCAGGGGGCAGTTCTCTGTCCTATAGGGTCACTATGAGTCGGAACTGACTTGATGGCACTGGGTTTGGTTTGATTTGGTTATTACCTATTCAACCAATTCTTCCAACTGTCCCATACTTCCTATTCTAATCAAGGTGAAAACCTTATTCTCCCTCACATACCATGCTTTTTCTAGTTTCCAGGTCTTTTCCTTAGGATACTCTTCCTACCTGAACACTGCCCAGGACACCCTTCCCTCCTCTGATGCCTCTTGCCTATCCAAATTCCTCTTATCTGCTAAGGTCTAACTCTAATTTTACTTTCATTGTGAAACCTTTCTGACCTCACCTCTTCTTTCTTAGGACCCTGTAATCCTTTAATCCCTGTATCTCCAACAAGAATAGAAACTGCTTGCGTCTCAGCATCATGCCTTCTACGTCTCAGGAATCCCTCAGAGTATCTACCACAGTGTTAATTATACAATCAATAATTAATAAATACTTGCTGATAAAAACAGAAGTCTCAATTTTACAATCAATAATTAATAAATACTTGCTGATAAAAAGAGACATCTCATGTTAGCCATAAATATAATCAACACTCGATTAGTCCATGCTAACAGTAGAGCCACTGCACTAAAAGGAAAAAATGTGGATAAATTCAACTATCTTTCAGAGCCTTGTTTGCATTAAGTACTGTGGAGTTGTTTCCAATTTTCTAGGAAGTCACAAAGCTGCCACAATGGTTGAACTGTACAATTCCTCCCTTGTCAGGGCCCAGCGCCTGCTCAGCTTATCGTTTCATACCGGCAAACAATGTACAACCTCTCATCAGTGACACAGAGATAAAAATAAGCAGAGGTAGTCATATTCTAAACATTTGCTGGTTCACACCTTCCCCTAATAGGGAGAGCATTGTTTGGGCACAAAAGATCATCTCTTCTAACTCTTACTGGGCAAATATCTTGCATTATGTCAACAAAGTGCTTTTGTAAACAGAATATAGTGACAATATCAACAAGAATTTGAAAGAAAGATCTGCCAAAGAAAATCCCTGTGATGATCTACCCTTGGAATAATCCAGAGTTGATAAAATGCCAAATTCTTCTCATAGTCCGTACAGATTTGCCTCAGCCTGGGGCTATTTTTCCTAATGAGAGTTTCTAAACTCCAAAAACTCCCTCTGGTTAGTTTCTCTTTCTCATCCAGTTGATTAGTTTTCTCATAACATACCACACAACTAGAAAGCTAAGCTTCTCAGCCTGAACTTTTGTTGTTTATACCTGATTGAAACTACAGCTTTCCCCCAGACAGAATTCAAAATGCCTAAGCTTATCTCCAGAAAACTCTTCAAATACTTTCAGTAACCCAATGGCAACAGTTTTGCTACTGAAAAATTACCCAACATCTTCCTGTTTGGGCAGGTCCTGCTGAAATCCCCCTCCTCATAAGGGGGAATATGAGTAAAAACACTGCCAGCTTCTAGTTCTCTTAGGCAAATTTCCAGTCCCAGTGCAAGGCCATGAGGTTAAACATTTCTCGATGACGCAGTCTCTCTCAGAGGGAGGAACAAGGGAAAAAAAACCAAGCTTATTCTTCCCAGTGCAGTAAATCAAGAGACAGCAGCCAAGTCCTTTAAAAAAAAAAAAAAAAAAAAAGAGTGAAGTTAAACTATATACTGTTCGCTCTGCCAAGGCCCCCAGCGGGAGCACAGAACTAGGATGAGGGCTGTGGGATGGGAGAAAAGGCAACTGCAGGACAAGCAGTCTAACCAAACTCATAGATAAATCTTTAGAATACTAATACACTGTAAGTTTCCAGCCACTATACAAGTTAAAATAACTACAGCAACTAAAACAAAGTGACAGACTTGGTGGTTGTGGGGTAAAAAAATGGAGTCACGCAGATAGCAAATCATTATTAAAGATTAAACTGTATACTAGGTGGAAGGTTGGGAAGACTACATGAAAGAACATTTCATCAACTTCTTGGGAAAAGAGCACAAGGCTGATCATAGAAAATGCAGACTCATCTGAGGGACTGCTGGGCTCCAGTACTCCTGGCCACTCGCAGATGACAGTAATGGAAGATCCTAGACGAGAATGAAATAAAAATTAACTGTTCCCAAGAACTGATTTATAGATCATAGAACTTCAGAATTAGGAAGGATCTAATGCTTACAAGGAGCCCTGGTGGCGCAGTGGTTAAGAGCTACAGCTGCTAACCAAAAGGTCCGCAGTTCAAATCCAACAGCTGCTCCTTGGAAATCCTATGGGACAGTTCTACTCTGTCCTACAGGGTCACTATGAGTTGGAATTGACTCAATGGCAATGGGTTTAGTTTTTGATTTAATGCTTACAAGAAAATGCCAGTGATGAAAATACTGATCCATTTGTACAGTACTTTACTTCTCAAAGTGCTTTAATTCATTTAGTCCTTTAAAAATGAAAAATTATGTACCTGCTATGTGCCAGGAACTGGGGATACAGATATAAGACAACAAGCCTGCTTTCAGGGGGCTTACTGTCTAATGATGAGACCTGCTAGGAACAATGGTGCAATAAAGCAATTGCTCTATGGTGGTATGTATCAAACATAGGTGGAGCACAGGAGAAGGAGCACCCCAGTCTGTCTGGGGGAATCAAAGACAGTGTGCACCTCAGAGGTGGTGACCTTGCGCTGAAATTTGAAGGCTGAGTAGAAGTTAGCGGGCTTCCAAGCACTGAGCGGAATGGACAAGGCAGAGAGAAGACAAAGACCATATGCAGAGGAATAGAAAAGTAAAGAGCACAGAGTGTTCTGGAAACTAAAAGCAGTTCAGCACTGCTGGACAGTGTGAAGTTGGAAGTGACAGGAGATGAATGACTAGTCAGAGGCTACACAGACAAACATAATAGTTTAAATTTTACCCTGTAGGAAACTGGCAGCCACCAAAGAATTCTGAGCAGGAGAATAAAATTATTAGAATCAATAATTAGAAAAATTATCTTGGCAACTCTACAAAGTACAGAGTAGAGGAGGATCAGGCTATAGGCAGGGAGTCAATAAGAAGGCTACTGAAGCCACAGTGAGAAATGTTGAGTCTGATCTAGGACAGTGAAGATGAGAACGTCAAAGCAGAAGTAGAATCTATAGAACTCAGAGATCAAACAGATGTAGGGAGTAAAGAAAAGGGGGAATCGAGAACAACTCCTAATTTTCTGGTTTGGGCAACTGATACCAAGTTGAGAAAGTGGGCTTGGGGATAGTCCTGGAGAATGACCACATCAGTTCTAAATGTGTGGAAGTCTGAAGCACATGTGGTCATCTAGATTCCCAGGTGTGAAGAATTAGTGGAATAAGTGAATTTGGAGCTCAGGAAATAGGTCGGGGCTAGAGATAAAGATACAGACATCCCTGAATAGGTGGTAGTTGAAGCCACCGTTCAGGAAGAGACTGTTAGAGAGAATGTATAGACTGAGCAGAAAACAGAGTCGAGAATTAACCCTGGGAAATACTGACATTTAAAGAGCAAACAAAGGAAGAGAAGACTTAAAAAAAAAGGAGTGAATAGAAGCCAGAGATAGAGGAGAGAGAATGGTGTCTATAGCATATGTCTATAGCTGCCCAGCATTTGAATACCTTTCCTATTGGGGGAAATTCCAATACTGGCAGAAGGCAGGCCCCTCTTTGTACTAGAGATGCTGAAGAGGAACAGATAGCCCTCTCTCCCTGGTATCTAGCACACAGGTACATAACCGAAGTTCAGCCAATCAGATTCTCCCATTTAGGACTTTGAATGTTGAGAGAATGGCATAATGGCGGAGAATATAATCAGAATTATTCACAGCATTGTGGCAAGTGTCTACTGGTGGCAGTGCCAACAGCAGCAAGTGTTCATCAGAGGCCAGGCCAGCAGCAAAGAAGTCCAGTGAGCAGTGCTAGTCACAGAACCCTAAGCAGACTGCTCCCATGACAGCCTTCACTATGTCTTGCCTCACTCAGTTTCTGCTCACCTTCTGAACTTCCTTATCCAACCTTCTCATTAAGGCTGTGCACTATCCATTACTTTTTAAATAAATTTATTATATGCCTAGGTTAGCCAGTGTTGGTTAACTCAAAGAACCCTAAGTCATATAGAATGATGAGAGAGTATCAAGCAAGGTCAATGGTAAAGAAGATCAAGTAATATGAGGACTAAAATGGGCCCACTGTGTAGTGTGACTGACTAGTAGGTCACTGGTGATCTTGGATGAATGTGGGTTATCTCATTCCATCCTTACAACACTTTGTGAGGAAGGGAAGGCAGGTACTATATCTTTATTTTAGGGATGAAAACACTGACGCTAAAGGAGATTAAGAGTACTTAAGGTCACACAGTTTTTTTTACCATCCAAAGGTTGCCCTCAAGATGAAGTTATTTTAAAGATTCTCACTAAAGGAGATATTAAATGTCTATACTCATTCTCACACCGAATGTCAATTGGCAAAGATGATGGCCACATAGGATTCATAATCCTGGTTTTCCAAGTTCCTCAATTTTTGTAGTATAGAGAAGATTCTAACGAAAGCACTAGACTCCTTATAGACAACCACCCAGCCTAAGAAGAGTCCTGGCTGTCATCCTTCCATGGTTCATTTGTGATGCCTTTGTCATTACTTTAAGAACACATCATCAGCTACAAGAGACTCCTCAAGCAGAAGAACAGATCTTCTATCCCTGACCATGAGAACAACTGTGGGAATGAGAGGTTGGGAGCTTCCAAAAGAAGATGATTATTTCTCAACTTCATTCCTCTGGGATATGTCACAGCCAGGAAGGGAGAAATTGAAAAAAACAGCTTTCACAAACTGCCAAATCTATGTCCCAGTCCC